CTAATTTTGTTGATCTGCAGGATCGTCTACGCTTGGTATACGAGTGGTCAAACACTTGGTTACTTAAGCTAAACACTTCAAAATGCTGCGTCATTCATTACGGTCGAAACAACCCCCATTACAATTACTTTCTTCAAAATAACCAAGGAATCAACCAATCTCTAAGAAGCTCTACTAAAGAACGTGATTTAGAAGTCATTTTTACATCTAACCTCTAGTGGAGCGCTCATATTCAAACAGTTGTCTCTAAGTCCTTACAAATTCTCGGTATGCTGAAAAAGACATTCACTTTCATTGATGAAAAAATGGCTCTTAAAATTATATAAAGTATTTATAAGACCACATCTTGAATATGGAGTGTCCATTTGGGCTCCTTTTTTAAAAGCTGATATGGCTTTGGTTAAATCTGTTCAACGCAAAGCTACAAAATGGGCTTACAGCTTGAGGCATCTTCAATACTGCGAAAGGCTAAAAAGATTAAACCTACCATCACTTGAGTTTCGACGCCTTCGATGCGATTTAATCCAAATTTTTAAATTAATACATCGTTTTGATATAGTTAATGATAAATATCTACCAAAATATATTAACTCCGTGTCTCGTGGTCACCATTCTAAAATAAGGCGTGAGTATGTTCTAAACTGTCTTCCAAGATATAATCATTTGTATAATAGATCAGCAAAATACTGGAACAATCTACCAGAGCAAATAACTTTGTACTCCACTGTACTTTCTTTCAAAAATAGACTAGACTCCTGGTTGTGGAAAAAGTTTGGAACAAATATTTATAAAACTGGTTGTTTATAGTGGGGTGTTTCCCCTGCTCGCTGTATGTGTACATTCTATGTAAATTTACGGCTACAACTATAATAATAGTAATAAAAACTATTGAAATAAAACAATTAGATAAAGAATAAGTCAAAAAAACTATTGAAATAAAACGATTAGATAAAGAATAAGTCAAAAAAACTATTGAAATAAAACGATAAGATAAAGAATAAGTCAAAAAAACTATTGAAATAAAACGATTAGATAAAGAATAAGTCAAAAAAACTATTGAAATAAAACGATTAGATAAAGAATAAGTCAAAAAAACTATTGAAATAAAACGATTAGATAAAGAATAAGTCAAAAAAGGGTCGGTGTGAAGTATATATATTACTCTATGAAAAACACAAGATTAAAATCTAAAATGTATAAAGATCTCACATCGAAAAATAGTATTATCTTAGACTGAAAAATTTTAAAACAAAATTTGAGATCATCAAAAAAAATTTTGTTTGAAATCAAATAAAAGAGTCTTATTTACTCTGGCTCGTAAACTAAACAACTATAAAGAATACAGGATAGCATTTAAATATCTTAAAATACAAAACAGCCTAAAAATTAACTATTTTACTATGGTGAAATCATTAATAAATAGTTCCTAACCGATGTCTCAAAACTTGCCCAGGGGTGGGGTTTGAACCATGGTTCCTTTTTTTCTGAGGCACATTAATCAATCAAAATCTTTTGCATCTATTCATTCATAAAAAAGTCTAAAAAGATATACTCGATAAATCCCAGCTGGACTCAACAACATTGAAAAAGGACTTCAGTGTTGAGTTTTTTCCGGTAATAGGGCAAACAAATTATTACTTTATACAAATTATGTGCGTCCACATCTAAAAATATGTTATTTATACACTTTGTCCCCATATCTTGGCCTGTGCGCAGTGGCTACAACGCTTGCTTTATAAGCAGGAGGTCCTGGCTTGAAACGAGCTCTGGACATATTTTTGCGTCACGGTAAAGAAGGATGCGTGAACTTCCTGGTTAAATGCATACCCGTGGTGCTCTGTGATAAGACCGTTAGGTCTTCTTTATTTTTTTTTGGGACAACATTGTGTCACAAAAAAATATATGGATTGCTAAAAAAACAGCTTTCATTTGCGGCAAACGTAAAACTGCAGCATTAAAATAGGACTTTACAATTGATTCTGAAGAGCCAGTTATAAATTTTGTACTATACTGTAGCATTTGCACTTAATAAGGGGCTCGTTTATTCTTATATTGACATTTATATCTGTTATATATTATTATCCCCTTAGATAATAGATAACAGATAATCAGATTAATAGGTTATTTATATTATGCCAACCCCTTCCCCCTTCCCATACACACACTCCTGTAGAATTGTCCTTGTTGCAATTACAAAAATCCTTGGTCAATGTTTGTGCAGCTCTCTTCAATTATTCCTTAATAAAACTGTCGGTATATTTTAATTAAAGCTCTTACTTCTTTGAACTTAAAACTTTATAAACACAGTTAATATTTAGATTATAAGGATTTTAATAAGGAATAGTAACCTAATATGGTGTTTTATCGGGAAATAAAAAAAAACTTAAAAGTTGGTGTCTAATACTACACAATGAAATTTAAGTTCGGTTTTAATATCCAGTTTTGAATGGTTAACAATTATTCATCATCATCAGCATAATTTTGAAGTAAAAATGATAATGAGAATTTTAATTTATGAATATTTTTAAAAGGAAAGCAAACAAGTTAAAACCAATTAACATTTTATAAAGTTTATTTTTATTAAAAAAGTTGTATTCTTTAATACATTTTTTTAATTCAGTATACATATTTTTTTTGTCACATTTTGTCTTTTTTTTTTTTTTTTTTTTTTGATAAAACTATGTCCTCTAAATTTTTTCTTTATCTGAGTTATATCTAATTTATTTATTTATCGAGTTTTTTGGGAGACGTATTTTCCCTATTATGTTTTACTAAATTTTTATTTTTTGGATGTACTTTTTCACATAATGTACGTCACTTTCTGTCTCAGTTTGATTGAATTTTTGATGGGAATGTAGGTGTACGCAATTACGCAAAAAATACTCAATTTTTGCGCAAGTTTGTGCGTAACTACTTGATAATTCCCAATAGAAAGGAAGACAATTCTTTACAGTTGGCTCGCTTTTTATTCTTTATAAAATAAAGAAGCTAAGATTATGTTTCTATCGGATATATTTTATTTATTTAAATTATGTATACGTATACCAAAAAACTCAAACGTATTTATAGATTTCTTGTCTTTATTCAATACACCACGTGATTCCTATTTATTAAGATAAATTTTTCTATTAATTTGAATGCATTAATGCGCATAAGATGTAAAGATATTTTTTATGAGACTACGTATGAGTAGTGTTTGAAAATACACGAGAGAGCAATATAAAATTGGATTAAAGATTTTACTCAAACTGTCTGCAGTATAGATATGATTTATTACCCTGTTTATAATAATTTGGTATAGTAATGAATTTAGACAGCGTTTTAATAATTCCTTCATTTCTTGAACAACGTTGCGCAAAAACGTCAAATTTTATTTTGTATCTATGGTATTTCTATCGTGCCTATTTAAAAATTAAAAATGGGAACTAATTAATTCATAAGTAGGTAAAAATATTATCAAAAAGTTGTAATGCTAAAAATAGAAGAATTATTTGAGAATAAATTTGAAAAAAGAACTATTCAGCAACATTTCAGAAAAGATTTCTTTATCAGAACACATTAAATGTCACTGGAAAAGAAATCTTTTCTAAAGAAGTAAATTATAAAATGCTTAAAAGCAATTTTGAAAAGCAGAGTTGCATCAACGCATGTTACGAACACAGCAACACTAACTTAGAAGAACTAGATGAAGAAGATAATACTTTACAACCTCTCATAACAGATTCTTCTGTAAAGAATCTAGCAGTTAAAAACTGTTCGTATTTAAACAAAAGTAGCGAAAAAAATAGAGTTCAAAGTTGTATTACTTATTATAATAGAAATAAAGAAGAACTAAGGTTCAGCACATCGGATATACAATCTTTGGAAAACGAAAAAGAATTTTTTAGTGAAAGAATTAAAAGGGAGTGTGAAGAATTTATTAGAAATAGCTTACCAAAACAAGAGGATGTGATTAAACTTTTAGTAGCTTTGACAACAAAACGCAAAAACGATCAAGTGGATTCAAAAGCAATAAATTTAAATAATGCTCAAGTAAGGCTGCAATTCGAAGGAACAATGACTCGATCAGAAAGCGAATCATTTTTAAACAATAAACATAAAAGAAGAAATGCAATAAACTGTAATGAACCTAATCACCTGTTAAACATGTTAAAACAATACTACGTTGGAAGAACTCTGTGGTATTGTAAGTTAATATAATTCAAAACTAATTTAGAACTGAATTTTATTGAATGCTGAATTTTCTGAATCTTGAATTTTTTTCTAAAGAAATCAAAGTAGAGTCTACCTTATGTATATAAACCAAAGTAGAGTTTACCTTATGCTATAACAAATTTTTAGTAAAAACAACTTTTTAAAACAAATTTATAGAAGCGAATTTAATTATACCTATCACTTTCAGCTAATTGAATTGGAAAACAAAAGGTGGTTATACACTTTTTTTTTTCTAGTAGACTATAGTATATTTTTGTATTAATATATACTACTGCATATATAAAATTTTAAAACAATGTAAAATAAGTAATCCAGTTTAATTAAGATGATTTATACAAAAGATTTTATACTACTTAAAATAAGATAAAAATTTTATTTTCATTTCCGTTCACACTTGTTTTTAACTTTTTACCACCGTGTTCCTATTCCATTTAATCCTATTTTTAACGCTGTTAATCTTAATATATTACGTCACCGTTATTGCATTCGCGTAACATCTACACGCCATTTTGAGTATTCACATGGGATAAACAAAAGAGAGCTAAAATAAGACATAATTGTTTGTTAATAATAATCTTTTATTTCATTAATTTCTCTTAGAGTTTAATTAAAGCCCGGAAGTAAATATATGCATACTTTTGCAAGAAGCGGTTTTTTATTTTATTTTTTATTTTATTTTTTCAAAAATCTTAAAAAGACAAAAATCAGTTATCCCAGCTGCATCTTTTTTTGCTACAGCTGTATCATTTTTATTGTTACAATCATGGTGGTTGTTTAGCGTGTTGGCGTTTTTTACTTTGATCCCGTTGTTGAAATAAGATCAAATAAAAAAACAAGTTTTCTATAAGGATTAAGAAGAAACTGTTTAAGAAAAAACAGTCTCGCAATTAAAGGAAATTGATTTTGTTTTTGAAAAAAATGTGTTTTAAAAACTGGGGAATTTTATTTGTACTGTCAAGCCTAGTTTTCCAGGTGAGCCATTTTTGATGCAACATTTAGAATCTCACTAAAAATGATATTATTGTAAAACTAGTCTCTAAAAAAAATATTTGTAAAAACCTCTATTATTATCAGAGAAGATTGACACCGTAGGTGTAAAATCAACGGAGTGATAACTTAGGTGTAAAATCAACGGAGTGATAAAATATTCATTGATTTTATCAGATTTTTTTGGTAAAGTGGATAATTAGTACGAATTTTAATATTATTACCAAAATAAATTTTTTTATAGGTTCACTCAAATATTGTTGAAGAAGTCACAAGTAAGTACAAGATTTAATATTAACGCGGCATCATTAATGTTTTATCATAAACATTATGACAAACTTTTAAGACATGAAAAAACACCTCTTTAGAAATATTACAAAAATTAAAACTGCTTTGATTTACAAAGTAATATTTTTTAATATTTAACACAGGATCTGTTTTCTGATATTTAACAGTAGTTAATGAAAGTAAATTTCCAACTATTTAGCGTTTTTGTTCTGCTCTGTTACTAAAAAAGAATGTCTTTGTTTCGGCCGGAGTTTCTGACGGCATTGTTCATTCCGGTTACGGCCAGATTTACAATATTTAAGACAGAAATGCCGAGACTCATTTTTTACCTTTATTTTTTAAGACATGTGACACAGACTGTTAAAATTAAATCAAAAAATCATTGTCCTACAGAGTAATAAAGAATTATCGGTAAACCTAGATAAAAAGTATAAATTTCTAAACGAACATAATGTGCTTTTATTTGCAATAATCAATAATGTGAAGATTTCTGGAAGTTTAAGAATATTGTGGAGCAAATACTCTGAGGAAGTTGCTCTCCAGTTATGGACAACAAACTAGCTCATTTTTCAATATAGCTAATAACTCTGGACCCTAATAACTCTGGGCCCTCCCGCGTCTGCAGACCCAGAGTTATTAGGGGCCCGAGCCAAATTTTTCAAGTTTTTCTTTTAAAAGTTGTCATTCCTAAAAATAATATGAATGTATAAAAACTTAGCAATTGTAGCAATTTTTCCTATTATTATATTGCTAAGAGCTACAAACTCTTTTTCGGACTATTTTTTTAGCTTTAACAAGAATCTTCACTTATACTTAAAGTAGAGCTTTTTATTTTTTTATATCTAAAAAATTAAAACTAATTGTATAAAAATACAACTCATAAATATACAATTTAGTTAAGTGGTAAGTATGATGTCGTAAGATTTTAAAGCAAAATTCAATATTGGAGCTATTATATTAAAACAATAACTCGCGTAAAAAAAAGATTGTTAAGACGGACGTCAAGGTGACAGTGTAACTGTCTTCATTACTGATGTATTTATCTCTTATGAAGTTAATTAGTTCTATTAAACTTATCTCAAGCAGGTTTTGGTATCTGTAAAATTTAACTATAAACACATACTTATCTAGATTGTACATAGACGAAATAATGCTAATTTAATATAATATATCGCAGAATTCTTCAAATTAGCTTATAGCTTAACTAGGAAGCCCATTGATGGCTGTTTCATTGTCGGTAATTTTAACAAATCATGTTTCCTACGTCCAAACACCCTATGGTTGCTCAAACAATATATTGAACTTGTTATTTAACTACAGCAGTAATTCTATTTTAAAATTGTTTCCTCATGCTATATTAGGTAACAATATAAAGAGCCGCTTTAGTATCACTTGAGAAATTTTAGCTTGAAAACTGTTCCCTGAAAGAGAATCTCAATTGTTTAGTTACAGCAAAGGTGATTACAATTCAATATCAAACTTTATTGCATTAATCAACTGGGATATTTTAATTTTGCATAAAACCGCGGAGCAATTGTTTAATTTATTAATTTCTAACAATTGTACTGTTTGCGAATATTTTATCCCCGAGGTTAATAAAGCAAACAAAAAGTATACAAAAGTATTTAATATGTGGAGTAACCTTGAATTACTCCACATATTAAAAACCTAATCCGAGCAAAAAAATTCGCTTGGTATATCAACTGCTCAACTAAATGGAAGAATAATAAACATAAAATAAACTGCTATCTTCATAATCGTTCATTAAAAGCTGAAACATTTAAAGCAAAAAGAGCACATAAAAAAAAAATAATGTTAACATCCCTCTGAATAATTTCCATTGTTAAAAAAGTTATACTAACCTGAATAAACTTATAATGACAACTTGGCTTTTTCTATTTCAGACATTATTAATTTACCAATCTAAATCCCAATAAATATTTTTTCCATTTACAAAAATCTTTTGTAAATTCTTTAATTCAGGAGTATTACTCACTCTCTAAGAGTTGGGAAATTTTAGCGCGGTCTATAAAAAACGGGTGATAAATTACATGCTGAAAACTATCGACCTATTTCACTAAACTCTGTTGCCTGCAAAACAGTCAAAATACTTGTTAAGAACAAAATCTTTAAGCCCATTAATGATAATAAAATGTCCTCTGCAAATCAACATGGCTTTATTCACGATAAATTATGCGTGACTAATCTAAACTTTTGATATTATTTCCATCTTCTATAGTATTTCACCAATTTATTGATGTATTCTCAATTTCACCAAAACGTTGATTCTCTACCTTAAAACAGACTTATGTTAAAATTAAGATATTTCGGAATAAATGGGAAACAAAAGCTAATAAATCAATCCCTAAAATGCTGTACTAAAATGAGTACTTTAGTCAATTTAGACTCATTATTTTCGAACAGTTGTCTCAAAAAGTTCTTACAATTTTTTCGTATGCAAAAAGGCATTCACTTATATTGATGAAAATATGGCTCTCAAGTTATATAAAGTGTTTATTAGACCACACCAAATACAGTGTCTATTTGGGCTTTTTATTTAAAAATTGATAAAATTTTGGTTGAATCTATTCAACAAAAACCAACAAAATCGACTTTCAGCTTAAGACATTTTTAATATTGCGAAACACTAAGAAGATTGAATCTGCAATCATTGACTAAAAGTTTTTGTTGGGGCAGCGAAAAGCTCAGGGTTAAGAGAAATTTTTCGCACTTTTTTCCCACATTTTCAACATTGATAATTTTCACATTTTTGCATTTTACCCGTGTCCACAATAACATATTATGATATAAGTTGACAATAACATTTTATGATATTTGACTTTACCCACTAGCTTAGCAACTGCAAAAATATCCTTAAGCATATTAAAACACATTTAAGGACAGCAATGGGGCAAATCATTTTGTCTGCCTTAGACTTAATAGCTACTGAGGCAGAAATAACAGCTCAATTAAATTTAAAAGATGTTATAGACCAGTTTTTAGCTATAAAGACAAGAAAAAAACTTTCATTAAATTATCTCCTTACTAGACATAGTGCAACATTTTATTAAATTTTCTAAATTATAAGCCAAAGTATAAGCAGCTATAAAGACAAGAAAAAAACTTTCATTAAATTTTCTCCTTACTAGACATAGTGTAACATTTTATCAAATTTTCCAAATTTTCTTAAGGTTTCTATTTAATTAAATCAAAATTGTTTTTAAAAATAAGGTTTTTGTTTTCATGTATAACTCTTGTCAAGAAAAGGGAAGGGAGGGGGAGCAGAGAAGTAATTTAGGGGCTCGGTTTTAAATTTTGCGGGTTGGCCTTTTTTTTTCGCTACGTTACTGATATGTATATATTGTAGGTTGTAAATATATATTATATAGCCACGATGCTGAGGTGCAGGCTTTCACATAAGTCATGAAAATAAAAATTAACATAAATATAATTCTTGTTCCCGCTGTAATTTTGTAAACAACTAATAACCGGAATATAAAACTTCCACTCCAGTAAACCCCTACTCTTCACTGTTATATATTTTTTAATGCTTTTCTGTTTTATACTTTTTTAGCTAATAGCGTACGTTGCAGCTGAAAAAAAAAATCACAATATCATATTTTGACTTCAAGTTATAGAGCATCGAAGTTGTGTATTCCGTCGGGATATTTTATTTTTATGCTTTATGTTTGATACGTCAGACATTAATTTCTTGCTTAAATTATTTAGTTTAACTATTTAACTTTAGATAAAATCAAATTTTTTGTTATGATTTTATTTTTAAGTTTTTATTTATGAATTTTATCTAAACAGACATATATTGATTCAATTTTTTTTATAACTTTTTTCTTTCTGTTTTACTTCGTTTGCAAGTTAGTTAACTAATTAGTTATAAAATTATTACTACAATAAAAAAAGTTTGTCAATTTTTTCTTTCTTTGAACGCTTAAATTTAAACTCATTCACTAATTAATCATTGAATGGATATGAATTGAAAAACTTTGGTGAAAAATTAAGAACGCGTGAAGTTTGCGGAAAAAAGGTAAATAAATTTCAAACTTCAGTAATTAATCTTTCTAAACATTGATTGCCATGTAAGTAATAAATATTTTGTACAAAAATGTGGACATATAACTGAAAATTATAAAAATACAACTCATTAAGAATCCTTAGATTCTAGTGTGCTTTTTATAACTTTTAATTTTAATGTAATATATATATATATATATATATATATATATATATATATATATATATATATATATATATATATATATATATATATATTACATAGATATAAGAAAAACTTGAAACATTTAGTACTTAAACAAAGCAGCTTTTCTTTTGAAGTTATAAAGTCACAGCCTAAATGAACATCAAAGTGAATGTATTTCTTTGTTTTGTCCACGTTTTGCTACGGAAATCATTCTATATAAATAATAAATACACTAAACGGTATTTTAAAAAATGGAATAGGTACCAATGCAATTAGATTTTTTTAAATTAAATCTGCTTCCTCAATGCTCCAATACAGTCTTTTTCTTGTTCATTTATCTCGCTTCTAAATGAGCAAATTAAAGATGCATATAAAAGACAATAAAAAAGGTCTAAACTGTTTTTTTTTCCCAATTGCATTTTTATGTAAATTTTTCACGAAAGATCTTTAAATCTTATTGGTAGTCTCTTGTGCCTCTTTAGAAAACATACCTAGTAAATAATTCAATAACTTCATAGTCATAAACCAAAACCTAATGAAATTTTTGGGTTATAGTATACAAAAGGTACAGGTCTACCTTAAATAAAGCAGTTATTTTACCACAAAGGAAAAATTTAGCGAGAAAATTGTCTAGCTGTGTTGCTGAGTTGTGTGAATGAAATATTACTAGATTCTTTAAAATGGCTTTCGGAAACAAAACCTAAAAAATTTCGCGTTTAAATCATCGTCTTTTTGCAGATAAACATTTTTCAAAACATAATTTATAGGCTT